TGAATTGACGATGCATCACACTGTCAAAGTTGGAAGATCTACCTTTAGTACAATAAAAGTAACAACTAGAAGTTGAATCTAGATTCTAGAGTTTTAAATAAAAGATGCACCTGAAATACGACATGCTTAGTAAAGAAAAGATAAAAAAAGCATACCCAAGCTGTGAGAGTGAACGATTAATATTCCCTGCCTCCTTTAAGCGCTCCCCTGCAGCACCAGTTAACTTTTGTCTCTCTGAGCCTGCTAGATCAACGAGATTTATTCGGCTTGTTTTAAAGCTACTTACTCCGTCGGCTACACTCTGTAACAATATAGAGTGCTTCAGAATCCCTCAAGCATAATTGAGAGAGAAAAACCCATAAAATAGGAGATATTTTCCAATTGTTTTGCAGATCATTAGATCCTCGTAACCGTATTATTTACAAAAAGTAACAAATAAATAAAGACATGGTATTTAAGAAAATTCCTGTTTTCAGAGCTGCACAAATTAGTCATTCGATGTCATGATTGTTTTGACCAACTTGTAATTGGAAAAGAAGTGTACTTGTTGAAACCTAAATATTAGAAACATAAATAAAGTACATGAAATTCAAAGCAGTATTACCTTACATCGAGATTCAACAACACAAGTAAAAACACTATGTGAACGAGAACTTTCAGCATTGATACTAGTCGCACCTGTCCTTCTATTTGATAATCCCTGCATCATTTATAGAGGAGTTTGTAAGTATAATCCCTTAAAATTATTCTATTCAAACTTAACAGTCAAGTTTGAAAATCCACTTTCATCGTACTGGAATAAATGGATCAAGCTAATAAGAAATCATACATAAAAGTGTTCCACTTCTATCAAGAAAAAGTTGAACATAAGTATTCTAAACATAAAAATTGAAGTCTTTCTTCATGAGTCTATAAAGCAGGAAACCAATAAGCAGTCAAAGCATTGGCAAAATTTAGAAAAAAAAACAAAGAAACAAACCTTTAGCAAAAGCTGAGTCATGTCCTTCATGGTACTTACATACTCTTCTGTCAAATTCTCAACATAGATGCCAGATTTTACATCTTCTCTTATCTGAATGAAAATCATAAAACAGTATAAGAAAAGCAAATTTTTTTGTCCAAAAAGAAAAGGGTAATTAAAAAGTTAAATATAAGTATCCATTCTACCTGCAGGTTTCTTTGATTTGGATCCAATAAATCCGTGATTTGCTCATTATAGATCTGCAAAAAAGAAATTGGAAAGCTAGTAATAAGGAATAAGAACAATACAAAACTAAACAGTCCAATCATATCAAAACTAAGAATCACAATAAGTCATTTAACTCTACCTCAAGAAAAGAACAGCGACATTGATACTTGAGCTGTTTATCAGCATGCTTAATTTGCTCCTATAAAATAAAAGGTCAAAGCACACACTGTTGTAAAAGATCCATTCGTGATATAAACATTGAGCAAATTCATTGATGAACATAAATTGAAAACTTTTACCTCATTTATACGATCAAAGAGTCGCTCAAACACACGGGGAGTTAAGCCTTGTTGATCACTTGATAAATTTTCTTCCAACAAGGCGTTGGCTGGACCCCAAATTGTATAAGTCTTTCCACTTCCGGTCTAATGAAATAATTTTATTCAGACCCACAAATTCAAGTTTCAAAGCAATACAAAAGTAATTCAAACATAAAAATGAGTACCTGGCCATAAGCAAACACGGAGCTGTTAAACCCAGCAAGACAATTTTCAACCAGAGGTGCTCCTACGAGCTGGAAGATATCTAGCTGCAGTTAAGAAACAAAAACAAATTTAGGGCATTTCAGAAATAATTGAACTTATGGGAATTAATAAAATGAGCTTATCATTGCCTGAGTTGCATCCGTGTTGGCGACTGAGTCAAACGTAAAGGTCTGCCCGTTGATACTCAAAGAATCAGTCGTAATTTTCTGAACAATCATGTCCCCTTCTTCCTCTTCTTTAATTGGTGGCCGCATCCGTACAACCACCTTAAAATTTAAAAAAAAAAAACAGATTTTGAAGTTTTTAAACATTTAAACCTAATTAAAAAAAAAAGGAAGAGAAAATACCTTGACACCAGAATCGGAAATTCCCGAGACGGCGTTGTCGAGGAGGGTTTCCGTACAAAGTTTGCGCTTGAGAGGGTTGGAGGAGGGCGGGCGAGGTGGCAACGGACTCTTGATCTTGGCCATCACGGTAGCGGTTGCGGAGGCGGGGGAAGGTTGGGAGTTGGGATCTGGAGGAGGTGCGTTTTCTTTGGAGGATTTTTGGTGTTTCCGTTTGGATTTAGAAGGGGTGGGGTTTGGGGAAGAAGGGATATCCATTGGCTCTCTCAAGATCGTGTTTCTTGGTACCATGAAATGCTTCATATTGTTGTTTGGTTGAGACAGAAAGGAAAAGAGACAGGAAAAAGGGAGAAAAAGGGGGGAGATTAGGGCAAAGAAGCGAGAGAAATGGAGAGAAAGAAAGAAAGAAAGAAAAAGAAAGTAGAGTGGAAGTGAGAAAAATGTAGCCGTTAGAGGGAAAAAGATAGTTTGAATTTGGCATTTTTAATTATTTCACTTGTCTGTTACTTTTTTTATTTATTTTAGGCGATACATTTAAAATTTTGATAAAAATTATATACAAATTCAATAAAAATAAAAAAAATATACTCCGACAATAATTTTTATATATTTGATATATTTAATATAAAATAAACACCATGAAAATCAAAATACAAAGAAAAACAGTAGATTTGAAATCATGTTGGATCTGGGGCGTTTTTTAAGGAATAAACCTAGGTGAACCCATTGATGGGCCCACTTCTTTAAAAGACACAGTTTACTGACAGCCCATATTTTATTGGGCCCTTTTGTATTTTTTAAGCCGATTAGTCACTTTGCTGTTAAGAAATTTGAGATTCGACTATCGTATTTAAGGTTGACAATGGTTTGAGCGGGATAAGTTTTTGTTTATTTCGAATTCAATCAAATTTTATAATCATAAAATTTAAATTTAATTTAATTTAAAATTTTTTTATTTTTTTAATATTTGAATTTGATTCGATTTGATATTATATAAATCGTATTCGATCCAACTTGATTTAAAATTAATAAAATATTATTTTTTAAAATATAAAATATATAATTATATATAAATAAAAAATTAAAAAATAATTTTTAATATAATATCGAGTCAGATCAGATCGAATTTACCTAAAATCTGAATTCAACCTAATTTCGATTTTTTCTTAATAATATCTCACCTGATTCGAAATTTAATTTTTTTTTTTAAAAAAATCGACTCTATAATATCGGATCAAATCCGAATCCGTCGGGCTCGAGTTAGACTGCCAACTTTAATTATACTTGTATTCCTTTCAATTAAGTCATCACATTTTGTGCGTGATGCTAAGCCCAACTCATCGACTGGGTCATGGTAGCATGGGCCACCACAGTCCATCAATCCACTACCCCTTTGATAGAGCAATCGTACGGTGGAGCTGCATTGATTATAAAAATATATATTTCGTCCATTGTGAATGAAATTCTAAAATTTCACAAATAATTTTTTAATTCAATTTATGAAATAAAGGTTGAAATTAATAGACACATCTCAACGTAGGATTAATAAGAATAATGAGGTGGGACTCATGGGAACATAACAATGAAAATGCTGGCTGATGAATATAATGAGACCAAGCAGCGACAAATTGGTGCTGTCTGGTTATCCTGCCAATGATTGGTGATGCATTGGAACAACCTTAACCTTTATTCAATGGCGAAGGCATAATAATAATAATAATAATAATACCATTAAAACAACAGGAGCCACTCATGTTTCCATGATGGTCACCTCAACCTGAATTTTTTTTAGTATCGTTATTTGCACTCCAAATTTTTTTAATACATTATAAAATTTTAACTTTTAATAAAATTATTGATATATTCATTAATCAATTTTTTTTTATCTTAAATATCTCACTTCATAAATCTATTTTTATGAACTTTTAAAGGTTTTCAAAAATAAATATTCAAAAATTAGTAAAAATTTCTTTCCAACATCAATTTCAAATTTTTTTTTAAATTTTCAGAAATTTATTTTTTGAAGTTTTCAATGTAGCCAAATATTTTAATATGAAATCTTGAGAAATTAAACAAAGAATTAAATGAAAAAATAAAAAAAAAACCAAATGATTTGCTTTTGATTTTAGATTTTTTTAATGTTAAATTGGTAAAATTTTCTTTAAACTTGGCTTGATTAGAATTTAAAATTCTTTAGATTTTCGGTTGAAAAAAGAGAAAAGAAGATATATGAGAAAATAAAATGTTTGGATTTTTAGTAAATTTGTGTTTTTGATTTGAGGTGTGTTTAAGTAAAATATTGAGTATTAATAGTAACAGAAGAAAGGAAGACTCTTTCTCTTTGCCTATGGATTTATGATGGCATTTGCAAATTTCCTATGGCCCCTATTACAGGACTTGGTGAGTGTTGCAAGAGCTTCAAGAATGAATGTTATGGCTGCGTCTTTGATTTCATGCTTAAGTACTTCTTGAACCGGTTATGACGTGAATTGGATGCACATGCTTTAACTCTTCGGAGTTTGATCCCAAAAAAATACATAAATCCATTGTCGAGCCAAATGTCAAACAGAAGAAGAAGAAGAAGAAGAAGAAAGAAGTTATAAAATAGTGATACAAAGCAGATTGACATACGAGAATCAGTAGTCAATGCCAGCAAGAAGAGTTGGAGACTGGAAAAGGGCACTTCTCCATCTATGGATACAGGTGTCCTCCAATGCCATTGTCACCCAACAAATCCCCAAACGCAAATGCAACAATGCCCCAGACGATCCCCCGTTCATTCATTTCATGCTTTTCTTTTTCCAAAAAACCAGCAGGAAAGGAAGTACGTAACAAAAAACCATTTAGTCAGAATTCTGTCAAAAAAAAAAAAAAAACCGTTCAAGATACGCGGCACGACGTCGATGCTCTCCCTTAATTTGCGTGACGAAACACTCCCCATTCATTCTCCACCATTCCTCTCATTCTTCAGTTTCTCTATATATAACCCAAAAACCACCCAAAACCTTTCACAATCATAATCTCATTATCACAACAGAAGCATCAAAGAAAATGGCGACAACTGACGTGATCAAAATTCTCTCTTTGTTGTTGGTGATAGCATTGTCATTCACGGTGGTTAATGGGTATGGAACGATGGTGGGAGGGAAGACAGAGATAAGCGACGTGAAGACGGACAATGAAGTGCAAGAGCTTGGGAGGTTTGCGGTGGAAGAGTTTAACAGGAGTCAGGGGCGTTTCAGTAGTGATGGAGGAGTGGAGTTGGTTTTTTCTCAGGTTGTGGAGGCTCAGAAACGGGTGGTTTCTGGGGTCAAGTACTATCTCAAGATTGAGGCCACACTGAACGGGCAAACCAAGACATTTGATTCGGTGGTTGTGGTGAAACCTTCGGATGAATCCAAGGAGATGCTTAACTTTACTCCTTCTACTTAGTAAGATTATGTGCCCTTTCGTTGTACTGAATCTCTAATGATGTAATGTGGTCATTCCCTGGTTTGTTTTGTGTTTTTATGGCATTTCTGTTTTTTATTTTTAAGTTTGCGGGCGGGGAATCTTTGTCTTGTAATTTTCATGTATTATGGGTCTTTGAACACGTAATCTTAATCAATAAAGGAATAAATAATGCTAATTAAAATAATGTATTTACCCAGGGCTTTGAATCTGGGAAAGAATCCATAAGCTTTCAATTCTCTCCTTCCAAAGTGTTAATGATCATTCGAGGAAGAGCTGGGGAAAGAATCCATCCTAGGTCTGATATATGCCACCATCACAGTTAACCACATAGGCCGTGAGCTAAGCCCATCTGGATTTGACATGAATGCTACCTAATCCATGTAGCATTTTTTACCTCACTCGGTCAATCGTACATTTCAACCCTTCAGCAAATAGCAGTGAAGAGATCACAAATCGCAGCTGTCAATGCCAGTATTTCTTGGCATATTCAAATATCTGAGAGTCGATTAGAATAATCGGTATGCATCATAATGAAATTTCAATATGCAAAAATTGCAATCTGGCATAAAATAAGATGAGGGTTCATCAGACTTAGAATGAAAAGATAAGGAACTTGGAATGAAAAGACAAGGTAGAACCATGGATGGTTGGCTTAACTGACATGAATCCGTTAAGTGGATGTCTCTCTTATCTTATTTGTCTAGATTCGAATCCGTTGAGAGTTAAGTTCTAATCCATTGAGAGGATGTAAAAAGGTAATTTCTCATGAATTTGATAAGTCTTACATGGATAAACCGGCTTGGAATAATCAAAAAGAGTACATACTGAGCAAAGCCAAGAAAGCCTTGCTGCTTATTAATAATAATAATAATAATAATAAGTCGAGGTAGAAGACAAGTAGCATAACACATTCTTATATTAATATCCTTGTTAGGAGTTTAACATAAATTAGGTATCTTAATCAGTGAAAAATGAGTATCCACAACAAATAACTTTCTAGATGAACAATATCAAGCCCTAACATCAGGAGAATCTATCTAGCCTATCATTATATCAACTTAAGCAAATGCTCTTTGCATTTACCTACAAAGCCGTCTTTAGCTGCATTGAGGCCTATGAATCAAAAGGAAATTCTTGATCATTCTCTGTTACCTTAAAAGGTTGCGGTTGCTGACCTGAGCAGTACAGATTCCACATCTTAAAATATGCCCGTTCAAGGTCCCTCACCTGAATTTAGGAATTACATGTCAAACCTTGTTAGCACTGATGAATTAAAGTGTTACATGCTAAGCAGCAATACACATCTAAAGTTTGTTGAGGCATGCTTTACTCAGATGGCATGAAATATAGAAATAATATCTCTACAGCAAAATAAATACTCACCCAGCGTGCTGTGTCAAAAAGAGGGCAAGTCATACGGGCTGCTTTGAGTTTATCGGAAAGATCTTGGAGCTTTGGACGATTTAGAGCAAGTGAGACAGCCTTGTCTTCGTATTCTTTCAAACTTTGAATATTTTGGCAAAATTTGAAATAGAAAAGGAACCATCATCAGCAAGAAAAAGAGGCAATAGCATCAAATGCTTCTTAACTCAATCAAGCATATGGATTACAGAATTTTATTTGGTCCTCTACAAACCCACTGCTTTATGTTTATTTTTATCAGCAACCCATTACATTTAATGAACACAGAATGCCAGAGTGCTAAGGTTTATTGTAACGGTTAACCATGTTGAATGCAAGCCTGACAAGAAGAAATTATCAGGCAGGCAGGCAAACCATACTCGCGTCAGCTTTTATCAATATAACAAGACAAATTCTTTTTAATTTTACAGCTATCAGCCACAACTTGTCATTATTGTTATTATTATTATTATTATTTAGAAGTGTGCTGGCTATGAACAAAAAGTAAGAAACCCTCCACTAACTTCCACAAAGAAATCTAGGGAGATAAATAAATAAAACAAGTAAAACCTATTTAATTCACCCTATTGTTCTTAAGAAAAATGCTCCTTTCTCCTTAATTAGATAATGAGTCAAATACCTGCTGACAATCATCTCCTCCCCAGCACCAGTAGCCAGACACAATGAACCAGCAACTCTAGTCGCCATCTTTTCAAGAGGAAGGGTCACCATTGGAAGACCAGCCCATAGAACATCAGTGCCTGTTGTGTGCGCATTGCATGATGGTCTACTCAAAAGCAAACAACAAGCATCACTATAATGAAATTTAAACCATAAATTTTACCGTGCCTAACCAAATCCAAATTCAAGAGGAAATCTAGATCTACTGATCTCTTAAGTTCAGAGGAAACTGAAAGAGGTTCTGGTATATATTAAAATATTACGTATCAAGGAAGAGATCCGCCAAGGCACTGCGTCTTATATGTTCAGTTTTCATGGCAACATCTGTAAAAATAATCTGATCTGACAGCACAACCTGCTGAGTTGCATCTGAATCACACGAAAACCAGTTATTTAATGCTACAACCAAAAATCATTCAAGGCACACTTGACAGTTCAGAAGATGTAAGTAGACAATCTACAGACTATAGATACTGGGATACCAGAACACCTAAATGTGCGAAGTCTCATCTCGCCTGCAGCTGGGAATCTAAGAAGCCAAAGAGCACTATTTGGAACACGCATAAGAATATTGCACCTGAGTTTGACTGCAAGAAGACTTGAGTATGATAAAACAAGTAAGCAGTACAACAGGATAAAATTTCACATACATTTACCATGTAGTGAAAATGTCAGGATCCATCTTGTACAGCTGATTGAAACATGCAAAGATAAATTTGTCTTCTGGTAGTCCATAATCAGATCTCTTCAGTAGACAGTTTGGATCCAAGACATCAAGATTTTTCTAGTGATAATTACAATGCAAAGAAGAGAACTTAGGGAACCCAGACAAAAACATGATATTAAAGAACATCACAGAGACAAGGAACCACTTCTAACCTGCTTATAATCATTTACAAAGTAACAATGAGGAAGATGGACAAGCTTCACGGAGTAGATGTGAGAAAAGCGAAGAGGTGAAACAAACTGCAAACATGAAGAGCAAATGATGCACAAAAAACAGAATAGGATAAACTTGAAGTATAATCCAAAGAATGACCTACGGTTCTCTAACCTCATCAGTGACCAAATAGTGTATATATGATGCACCAGTAGTCCCTGGAAATCCCATGTAAGAAATTTGAATAGAAGCAGGTTGCATTGCAAATATCTCATTCCTTGCCCCCTGCAATATCAGATTCGATACAATTAAACAAAGAAAAATATACAATAAAAACAATAAATTCCTAATAAGATTATAACAGAATTGACAAGAAGCATTTAGAAGTCAGAAAGGCATTCATCTGGTTTCCACCCCATGAAGCGGAACCAAATGAGAGCAGACAAAAATAAAAATTATATTTCTTTTCCACATTTTTCATGAGTTCCAATTGAATTACAAAATAATAAAAGTTGATACCTTGGTATAACCATTAAGATTGACAAGAATTTGTATTTTATCCTCATTTATCATCTTTGCAATCATGTCAGAAGACTTTGATGATACATCTATGAAGTGCTCCGCTTCTGACTGGATACGTAACCTCCATTCTGTCCCATCATTTGGGCTCAATGCATAGCAAAATACCTGTAAGCCACTTGTTCTAGCATGAATGATAAAAACATAGAAAAATTTTGAGAAGACAAATAAAATAATTAGGGTCATATGTGAGGACATCAATTTTCAAACCTCAACATTGTCTCCATTGTGCATGCCAAACACTGAGCCCATGAGATGAGATAGGGGATGGTTACCAAAATCACCACTCACATATCTAAAATGACATAGGGCCCATTTAAGGACCAGAGAGAAAGGGAGAAAAAGAGAGACGTAGAGAGGGAGAGAGAGAGAGAGAGAGAGATCTCAAAACATACCTCACCCTTAGGCGTACATTCCCACGCTCACCCTTCACAGGGAAGGGTGCAGGATAGTTGAAAGGAGGAAGGGAATAACGGGATGCAATAACAGAGCAGTGTGCTGCATATTTACGACTATGGAAAAACAGAAATAAATCAGAAATCAAATTTGCAAAGTTTATATTGTAATTACATCCAAAACATCACCCAACTTGCCTGATTTCTAGCGCAAGCATTGTATCAATTGGATAGGCAATTGCAATGAAAGGCTGCACGCTAGGAATAACTGACAACTGAAGGGTAAAAGAAAACTGTCAATGTTTATAGGCGAGAAATCAACTAGGAAGGGAATTCAAAGCACGACATCAAAACCAAAGAAAAAGGAATAGAGCTTATAGCAGATCAAGTATGAACCTTAATCTGTCTCCTGAGTATGCCTTCAACTTCAACAAATTTATTCTCCCGATCCTCCCAGTCACAAACACTCTGACCAAGGGAATATCATATTTATTAATTGCAAACAAACAAGAAGATCAGCAGAGTTAGCCAAGGCAGCTATATGATATAAATCTATGGTGAAAATATGAACTGTCCAACCCTAAGTCTATTTTGCATATATCCAGGAAACAGAAAAAAGTACGTATCTTTGTTTTCTTTTTGTCCTTTCACATTATCCAGGTACCATTTAATCAAATGCCAACAGACAAAAAAATAAAACAAAACAAAGATAGACAATAGGCATAAAGTACTTTGATCATGAACAAGGGATTATTTTGAATCTACCATTCCCAAGGAATTTTAAACAATTACTTAAAGGTTTGGAAAAGAAAAAGGTTGGGGGCAGAAGGAAATGTTCTTTAATCAACAAAACTTGTTGCTAAGCCTGTTCAACCTGACAATCTGTTGATTCCCAAACAAGGGTGAATAGGAACTCTTTCCAGTTTGTTAAAACAAGCACTTAAATTATCACTATCACCAATACATGAGATTATGTAGACCATTACCATCTGCAAAACTTGTCAACATTTTGTTAGCATATAATTTCTTTGATTTAGATGCTCAATAAAAAACAAGGAAAAGTTTTCTATCATCTTGAATTTAATACGACAAATTGAGACACATATTCTCATGCTCCCTTGGAAGAGGACTCATGATGAATGGTTAGTCATCAGGGAGATTCAAGGATCATCGCTTGATGTCAAAGTTAAAACTTTTCTGGTACAAGAGGAAAGCAATAAGGCCCAAACCTAAGATCCCCACTTATGGCTCAAACTTGAATTAATCCTTCAGTCTGAAACACATATTCACATGCTCTCTAGGGACTCATGGTGAATGGTAAGCTTGCAGGGAGATGCATGGATCCTCACTTTGTTTCAACCTTTTTGGGTCAAAAGGAAAGAACATCAGCTCAAAACTATATCCCTACTTAATCTAAACATGAAAAGATTTTTTGATGAATAAATCAAATAAATTAGCTTTACCTACATTTCCGTGATAAATTTTTTTTTTAAAGTAATTCGAACTCGATCGTACCTTAAAAGATAAAATATATATATATATATTTTTTGTTGGTGCATGCATGTAATTACATTGATAGAAGAGTTATCACTTACCATTTTTGCGTTTGTTTGTGCATGTAATTTATTTTTCTTTTTTTTTTTTTTTAAACTGGCTTCATTTGTGAATTATAAGATACTTATTCCAATCCTGTATATCTAATTGAATAATTATTAAATTATAAAATGATTACTAAAAGTCTTAACTTTTTTTTTTTGCCAGTAAAAAAAAGTTGTAAGTATTCAATGATCTAGGGGAAGCATTTTCTTGATTTCCCAAAAATCAACCTCCCAAGCATAAAAGAGAAGAATCAGAAGGGAAAGACGAGGAAAAAGTCAGATAAAAGAAGAAACCCGATCGATCTGTCACAAAAAGAGTATACTTAGCTGTTATCTTAACCTTGCCCATTTTACCGTTACACAGAATTCCTAAAAAAACAAAAAAGTCGGCAGAACAAGGGGACTAAAAACATTAAAAAAAACCAAAAACTAAAAAAAAAAGGAAAGAATGAGAGAGAAAATACGAAGGAAAGTTCCAGCAAGCCAAACCCATACCTTTCAACCAGCCTTGAACCAGTTTGACTAGACCAACAATAGAACCATTGTAAGCTGCCTGAATTGCCAATAAATCGAATCGGTCCATAGCTGAAATGTTGTTTCCTTTTCAAATTGAAGCCGATCCAATTGAATTGAACCAAGTTGCTTTGAACCGTTCCTAGACCAGCCAGTTCAGGTACGTTCTTTTTTTTATTTTTTGATTTTTTTGATTTTAATCTTTTTTATTTAAGCATGTTTAAAATTTCAAATGTCCAAATAAGTATTTATTACATTTTTAAAATACAAATAAGATTTAAATTTTTGTTAATTTTAACTTTCACTATTTTTTTAAATAAAAATGATAAAAATGAAGGAAAGAAAATTTTTATCTGATGATGAAATTATATGGTAATCAAAGTAGTGATGCGTAAAAAATTTTTAGATAAGAAGAATTTTTTTAAATACTACTAGTATATTGGAGTAGTTATAAAAATTTTTCAATATAATAAAAGTTTCCATTTTTTTAGAAGAATAATAAAAATAATCAAATAAATTAATAATAAATTTCTCTCATTAGAAATAATAAAAAATGATGAAAAGAAAAATTTTATTCGATGATGAGATTATAAGGTAATTAGAGTAGTAATACTTGCGAAATCTCTGAGTACGATGATTTTTTTCAGATACTGCCAGCGTATTGGGTTATGTATAAAAAATTTTTCAACACAATAAGATTTTCCTTTTCTTCTAAATAATACATAAGAAAGAAATTAATAAGCAAATTTTTTAAAAAGAAAAATACAATATTACATTTGCATTGCACGCATATCACTTAATTTATTGAAAAATAAATACGAGTCTTTAAGAATGAGATTTTAAGGTATTTCAAGTAGTGATCCCTATAAAATCTCTAGGTGAGAAAATTTTCTTTCAATATTGTCAACATACTGGAGTATTTTAAGAATTCTTTCAATAACAAAAGCTCTAGTTTATTTTTCATGAGTAAAAAAAATATAAAAATATAAAAATAAATTTAAAAAATAAATATTAAAAATCCAATATTACGATAGATAAAGAAAGTGAAGAAAATTATTTTTAAATACCCAAATTTAAGACCTGTATTAGGATTAAAGGGGTAATCTATAATTAATTGATATCGTTTTTAAACAGATGCTATGGGGGTGCTAATCATTTTTCATGAGTAACTGACTTCTGGATTCAAATTATTTCACAGGCCCTAAAATTATAATTTTAATAAATTTTAATTAATTTTATGATATTATTAAAAAGATAAATTTTAATTGTTAACCAATCGTACTTAGCCAAAAAGATTGGTGGTGACTCCATTTTTGTTTTTTTTAAAAATTTATTTGGTTGTCTTCAAAATGGTTACGATATTTAAAAGTTTATTTTTCTTCTTATTTTGTCACCATCTGAAAAGTGATCCCAAATGTTCTTCTTACATTGATACTCATTTGGTTAAAATATATTGGCTAATTTTTCTCACTTAGAAAATTTTTAATATCAAAATTTCCACCTTTTAAAACTTTGGTGATCATGTTTACGTTTTTCCTTTTGCTTTTTATTTTCTTTTCTCTTTAGACACCGTCTTTTAGATTGTAGTTTAGATAATAATAGATTTTGAATGGTTTTGGAATCTCTAGCTAGCCATTCATTGTTATATCTCTCATGGGAAATAAGAATATCTGGTTATAGAATGTCAAAATGCTTTTCTTGATATGCAGGATAGGCACTTCTACGCTTCTGAATAGCAATTGTTAGTTTTAAATGGTGTATTTTTTATGTGGAGACTAAAGGATTCTGATCCATTCAAATGTAAAAGGGTCACATCTGATAATAAAATTAAGAGAGTGATTACTTTGTGAGTTTTGAAAATCATGTCCATTTAAGTCTTTCCTTTAACAACTTTGTATATATGAAAATACCATTTAACATATATCTCTTTTCCTTATGTTTTCTCATTAGGAGCTTCACTAATCATAAACTGAGTGGTCCTATATCACCTAACTTTGGGAAGTTAGAGCACTTGAGGCTTTTATATGTATTATTAAGGCCTTTTTTTTTTTTTTTTCATAATTGATTCATGATCTATAATCAAACTATAATTTTTTATTATATGCTTTATCTATATAGTTAGTTTTTAAACTTTTATTAGATATATTTTTCTAATATAAAGAAATTTAATTAACTATTTAGGTTACCAAATAAGATTTGGATTGCTTATTTTGAATAGGTATTACACATCCTAAAAAGAACCTATGTGGCATTTCAAACAATCTACCTTTTTTAAAGTATCAGTCTTTTCCCCATGATATCACTTTGTTATTATGGTGATTGTTATTATTTCAAAATATCAAACTACCATAAAATCAAAATAATATATCGTTATTATGGTAGTTTGCCATTTGCTCCAAGCAGAGGAATACATGCACCATTAAGTCAAATACTCAGGTTTTCTTTTAATTTTTCTTTCTCTTTTTTTTTTCTCTGAAAAATAATCTTGTTAACCTGATAGTCATTTATTTTTAGGTATGGATTGCTTATGATGGAGAGCAACTGGATTATTCTTATTTTTTCCTTTTTCCTTTTTTTTTTGGGTTATTAGTATCACTTTGCTATTTTTTTTTTTTTGCTTCATTAGTTTTGGTATTCTAACTCTTCCTTTTCCATTGTATTGATCTAGAATCTCCAAGTTTCTTTTCTTATTGATTTCTTGACTTTGCTTTGATGCTTCTTTTATGAGTTTCTATTTTTGTAAAAAAAAAAAAAATCATAAACACAAAAGAATCTTCCTACTATTTTCATGGTAATTGCTCTTTGTTTCTATTTTCTTGATATGTTACTTTTCACTTTCAATTTTCATCCTTTTATTTATTGACTCGGTTAAAAGAGAAAATTAATAAAGAAAATTTTGAGTTTTGTGATAGTTTTGTTGCATTTATGTTGTTTGATGGATTTATCTTTCAAGTTTATATCTCATTTATTAGGGATTAAGTAAATTTATTAACAATATAAAGTGCATTGTTTAAATGTTTCTTTGAAACTCATTATGTTGTTCAATTTGATTTTTTTAATGGGATATGTTACTTGATTATGTGTTTGTCATTGAATATAATTAATTGTGTAGTATGCATGTGTTTCATAAATAATTAGAAAGAGTATGTGATGTTTAAGTTTTAAGGGTTTATTTGCCTTTTCCATTGGTTTTTTATCTATTAGATATTCTATGTTTATCAATATGTCTTTTTAAAGCTTCATGAGTTATTTAGTTTTATTCTTTAATAACATTGAAGGTTTGAGTAGGCTCTTTGTTGATTAATTTTCAAGATGTACATTCGCTTTGTAGTTGATAAGAGTTTGGGGCTTGACAAATGCTTGGTTCGACAGATTAAGTAGGAAAGCAATAGGGCAGCACATATTTTACTAAAATGAATCTTTCTATTTTAAATGATTTGTATTGGGTTAAGAAATGTATTATTATTATTAGTAATATTTTTATCTTTGATGTTGTCATGTATGTTTTTTTTTAATTCAAGAAATAAATATTATCGACTACTTTAACAAAACATACTCTTTTCATTTCAAAACATATATGCTTTTTTTGTATACAGTTCTTGAAATAAATTTTGCTAACTATAGATGTTGTATTTTTGAAGCATATACTCCAGATATATCATTACAATGCAATTAGAGAATTAAGACAACATTTGGAGGTAAGCCCATCAAAACACATATAAAATATCTCTTGAGAATAATAATAGATAATGTTATTAACAACCTACTATTATATTTTGTAGATTGATGCCTATGTTAAAAGTGTTCATAATATAACATTTGCACATCCTAATAAGCTATTACATATTGCTATATGTGGTGATGATAAGATGATAAATGTATCAACTTTTGGCTTAGTTTAGTTTTTGAAAATTAAAACAGAATTAGTTTTCTTTTATATTAAAGTTCTATGTTTGGTAGGTATAGGACATTGTAATTGGAGTAAACATTATACATTTGAAGGCCATAAAGCTTCTATAGATTCTATTTGGCTTCATTATAAAATATTCAATTAAAACCTCATTTAGAAATTGTTATTAGCTTAGTACATTGTTTTTATGTTTTTATGTATTCTTTCATGATTAGATTGCTAGATTTTAGCTTTTTCTTTTGAAAATTTTCATTTTTCATTCTCATTATACTTTCAAACTTTTTCCATATGAGCAAATTATGTTTTTCACCACTATTAATAGGAGATTAAAGCTTGATTATATGATTGCTTGAGATTTGGAGTGTACTATGATGCTCTTAGATTTTGGTGTATGATAATGGCATACAGTGCTAATGTAACTAGATAAAAATGTTGATTTTATGGAGAGATGATAGTTTGTTTGGATTTATTTAGGGTTCTTGGTATGTTTCCACATATCATATTTATATAATTATGCATTAAAATATTAGCATTTATATGCATAGAACCTTTTTCAAATTAAGAAGATTATAATTTATTTTTTTAGGGTTTATCTCACCCTCAGAAAATATTCTATTTGAGATTGTCCAATTTTATAGCTTGAAAATGTCTACTTAACATTTTTTGATTAATTTTACAACTCATTTAATTCAGTAATAACTACTTGATTGTTTGACATAAAAAATGTTTGGTTACATAGTCTTGTGGCTTACAAATCCATATGTAATTTTTGTTTATTTTCCCAGTTTGTCTAGGGTTTATGATCGAGTAAACCTTTAATAAACTTGAAGTTCTAAATCATGACTAAAACAATCTTATCTATATAAAAAAGAATTGCACCCTTTATTTCTTTAATTTTTCTGTCAAATTCTTTTTTAATAAGAAATTGTTATTCAAAAATAACAAATTTATATTTTTGATTGCTTTATTTTAATTACATATATCATTTTAAATTTAAATCCAATCAAATACTAATTAAATAAAATACTAATTTTTTTTTGTTAACAAACCGAATGAAGCTAGGTAACCCAAACTAGTAATTGTATGAAAGGAAACATTGAGTTAAGGTAATATACCAATTAAAATATGAATTAAACTTTAAGCATATGTAAATATAGAAG